TTATTTTATTTATAATTTTTTTTTATTATAATATTTAAATATTTTAATTTTTTAATAATTTATTTAATAATTTAATAATTTTATAATATTTATTATAAGTTATTACTTAAAATTATATATCGTTTATTTTTATAAATTTTTTTAATTATAAATATTATTTTTTTAAGTTTTTTTTAAATTAATATATTACATTTAAATAATATATTAATATTATTTAATATATTTAAAATTTAAATTTTTTAATTTTTATTTTTTTATTATTATATTTTTTTATTAAATTTTTATAAATATTAAAATTAAAAATATACGTTTATAATTAATATTTAATTATATTATTAACATTTTAATTAATATTTTTATTTTTTTTTTATAAGTTTTAAAATTAAGTTTTTAAAGCTTAATTATTCATTTATAATTTTAAAAATTATATTTTTTTTATTAAAAAGTTTTTATATTTTTTTTTAAATATTTAAATTATTAATTTTTATTTTAAAAATATTATTTTATAATTTTTATTAATTAAAATTTAATAAAATAATAAAAATAACGTTTATATTAATTATAATATTACTTTATTAAATTTATATTTAATTAAATTTATATTTAATTAAATAAATTAAATTATTTAAATTATTAAATTATTATTTAATTTTTAATAATTTTTTAATATATAAAATTTTTAATTATTAAAATAATATAAAACTTAATAATTTAATTAATTATATAAAAAAAATTTTATTTTTTTTATTTAAAAAATTATAATTAAAATTAATTATAAAATCTTTAATAATTTCCATATCGTGTTTTAAAAGAAATCACGTAAAAGCCAGAAATTTAAAGGCATCAAGGCATCAAAACACACGGACCACCTGATAACACTAAAATTATGAAATTGTATCTGACAGGCAGTCACGTGGATTGGTTCGAGCTTAAAGTGGCTAATTGTGTGGTAGCTAGCACCAGTAGCACTCACGTACGTAAGCAACGCAAGAACAACAACAATAGTAACCATCATAGGATAGGTACCTAGGTACCCAAGTGCTGTGCAGCAATCTAGATATCTTGTCCAACCAACATAGTTTAACATAATCGATCCTATGGTATTGCAAATGGATATGTTGTTAGGAAAATAGTACCTGCTTATAAGCAGCCCTGTGTTACGCGCCATGTCTTAAATGTAGGATCTGTGATGTGTACTACACGACAAGATCGGTGAGACTTGGGGAAGACCGCTGTTCAGCCTGAGTGACATCTTCACTCTACCATCCTCGTCATCTCATATTCCCCTTATCAAAAAAAACCCTCTTTCGCTGTCATATGCGGGAAGATTAACATCACCCTTACCTCGACCCGAATGTTGTACTATGGCTGATATCGATCTGAATGCCGCTGCTCTGAACCCTCCTAACGGTACCGAACAGAACCTTGACAATTCCCCAAACCACAAAGATGTGACCATTGCTGTTTATACCATATCTATTGCGATCGCCTCTATCTTTATAATCATCCGGCTCTATACCAAATTCGTTTTCTTGAAGGCCCCGCGAGCTGAGGACTATAAGTTTTTCCTATTTCTAGGTATCCTAGTGCCCATTATTCGCATAGAAACTTGACATACTCACAGATTTTCTAATACCAACATTTGTATGTTCCGTATCTATAACCCTAGCTTAAATTTCTATTCAGAACGTTACCCGAGATAGGTACTAATTAGGTACGCTACATTGGTTTGCCTTACAGGGAGTGTACGTTGCCCATTGTGTATACTAGCTCCGAATGATTGGTACCACCGGACAATTTATCCATCAGTGGAATTTTCGTGTTGGAGGCTTAGCCCCGTTCTATCATGTTAGTAACCTCATCTGGCTACATATTTCATTGGCCTGCTTCTGACCCTGTCTATAGAAAGGATTATACGCAACTAGTATACTGTATGATGCTGTGAGGCTGACTATAAAACCGCTCATCTTATTTAAGTGGGTTCATATATTCGCGTCAGCTGGTCCACGCAACGCTTTTGACTGGACTTGTTACACCCTTGCCACTATCAACACCCTCGTCTTCGTTATCGACATATGGATCAACGCTGCAACCTGTACCCCGCGGGAGTATTGGTGGGATAAGACGATATCAGGCCATTGTGCCGATGTGAGGCCACTTGAAATCGCCGTAGGAGTCTTCAACGCCATCCTAGACCTCTTTATCCTATTACTCCCCCAGGGAATCATTTGGAAGTTGCAGCTACCTAGGACCAAGAGGATCGGAGTCTCTCTCCTGTTTTGCATAGGGTCCACGTAAGCTCTCCATGAGTTAACCACATAGGTATACTTCAACTGCATACTAACGGTACTACCAACAGATCCGTCCTTGCAGCCATCACACGAACAATTTTTATCGATTATTCTCACCACATTGGGTGATACTACCTACCACTTCTCGCAAGTGGGTATTATAAGCATAATCGAGATGACTGCCGCAATTCTTGTCTTCACAACCCCCACTGTCCCAAAGCCGATAACCTATCCAGCTAAACAGGCTAGCAGCTGGTTCGGTCGACTAATCAGATGGAATCGTAGTGGTTTCCCCCACGAATCTGGTAACACAGGTTTGAAGAGGAATATCTATTATCATATTGAGGAGCAGGACAACTCATGGCCTATGATAAAGCTAAGGGCGTGACAGAGACATATAGGTCCTGAACGAAAGATAGAGTCTCAATTATATCTCCCTAAATAATCAAGTATACATATTGTGTGCAAGTTTATAAACAATGGGTACTTTATAACAAGCATTCTTAACGAGGACGCTAAATGGTGGTGTGTTCCAATCAATGCTTTTGTACTTTTTTGTATTTGTCCGTTGTTCAAAGAGGTTTAGTTATTGTGGACTAAAACTGACCTACTTCTTGTATCCTAACTAGGAAATTCTCACTGGTAACCACGGTCCAGAAAGGCCTTGTCTCTCTCTGCAGCTGACATTCTACGCAATGTATCTCCCATCCGTAGATATATCGCCAAACTAAGGTCCAGCCTCTGGTAGTCATTACGGATCTCGTGAAACCTCGTCTTCCAAAATTCCCATCTCTCGACGCCTAATGGGCGGATGTTTCTGCATAATGGACCTGTCGTGAGACTCAAGGCCACGCGTCCAAAAACATCCTCGCCCGTTAGTTTGTGAAGCAACACATCTCCGCATCGTATAATCCATTCGGTTGCGACCCAAATCCGACATTCCATCACCTCCCCTCTAGACTGCGGGCACTCGAGCGCGTTTCTGAGTTCCAAAATGGGAAGTTGAAGCCACGGGCAAAAATGTTTACTTGTTAGTCGAACGAAAAAGGAATTCAGGTTTTGCCATTCAGTGATATTTCTTTGGGTTAGATGCCTGGACGAGGATAACGGATCTACCATTAAATTAGAAGGGTGTTACTCGGCGTGGGATAGAGTGGTATAATTACCATGCCAATTCTCAAACAGACAATCTGCTAGATAAGGTAAATCCTTCCAGAAGACCTCCACAAAGCATTAGTACGGGTTATATCGGGTTATATGATGATAACGATGATGATGACCCTCTCTCTAGGGAAATAATTACTTGCCTTGTAACCATTTTTGATCTCGCCAGCCCGCCCACGAAGTGTCTTGACAGACTCTATCATAGTGCTCTGGTTTGGACGGTCTGGATACAATTGGTGGGCTAGTTGAATTACTACCGTCCAGAGATCCCGGAGGATAATCGAAAGACGCCATGGAGAATCTGCCTCGGCGCAGATGCGGAGGATATCATCAACTATGCTCTGAATCTGCCATTCCGGACCATGTCGGCTTCTTAACGCCCCGTCGATCTTGCTTAAAATTCTCAGCTGGCTGCCGGAGAGCCTGGGATATATCCTGAGCTCGGCGTTGAAATTCATTCCGTACTTAATGTAAAAATGTGTGTTATCGTTGGTTTATAGATTAAATGCTGAGTTGAAGTTGAAAAAGCGCTGGATATGGTTCCAGATATATAAGTAGCAACTGTGATAAATACCTTGCTATTACAATCATAGACACGTAGCCTAGGGCATCTCTTACACGCTCGCTACTTACATGTTCAACGTCACCAATGTTTTTAAAGTGCTGCTAGCCTATCAAGTCAACCACCAATTTGAAATAGATTTATCGTTGGAAATAATGCTTGTCGCTAGTCGTGTCAAGTAGACGTGGATGTGGATGTGGATGGTGGTTGACTGAGTCCTCTCGAAATTTTGAATAGAGGGCGAACTATCTACCTCTACCAGATACCTACCAAATAATCTTCCAAGCGGTGTTACTCACAGAATCGTACGTCTCAGTGGTTAAATACCACTCTTAATCGAATTAAGACCGGAACTCATAAATGACTAGATTTGCTTAAAAATCAATGATCGTTGCTTGGTTTGTACGAAATTCCCATGTCATACTGAGAATAGGGGTAATATGTTTCAAAAGGCGGAGACAAACACTCTGAGCGACATATTCGAAATAATAAGTCAGACTACACTAATAAAGCAGCCTCATATGACAACAGAAATATAGTGACAAGATTAATAGTACCTAGACAGGTATGTGGATGCTTAGCTTGGTGTTGTTTTCATTTCGTGTTTGCGGACATACATGCCTACCTACCTTACAATACCTATTAAACAAATTCACTAGTCCTCATTTGTAAGACGAACTCGAGAACATGGAAGAAGCTGACCTTCAAAAATTCTAGATTTTAGCATCTAGTAACAACTTTTGTGAGGAAGATTACATGAATTTATCTATAATTTTATTCAAATTTTATTCAGGTCAGGCTACATTGTTATTGTTTAGGTACCTAGATATATTATACACGTGTTTTCCTAAATGCAGAGTATGTTTCTATTCATTAAAACTGCTTTTTCATGTGTAAATTGTGAGAAATATGGAAAAAGTTATGAAATGGCATACGAACTGCGGGAAATCTATGTTGCAATGACAATAATTTCCCCTCTATACCCCCTTATAAATCGACAGCAGTAAATCTCAACATTAGAAAGCCATTTAAACACGTGTGAGGTGTTTTGAGGAATTTATCTACTTAGATACGCAAGCCAAGGAACTATTAGTCTTGTCTGAGAATAAATGCGTATGGCCTTGAAATCCCCCCTGAAAGCCGAGACTACCACGGGTCCAGATGCTATTATTACCGCGCTAAAGAACGCCAACGTGCTCGTTGAGGAGTTACGCCGTGGGTAATACGCAGCGAATTAGAGGTCCTAGGTTGAAATGAAGACGATCTTTAGTGGCTGTATGCACCGTAGCGGGGGCGCGATGTTACCGATGTGGATTAAATAGCACCGATCCCTCTAACCTAGTGCCGGCTAAGTCCAAGACTTGGCCTGCTGCCGAAATACCACCTCCCTTGCGTACCAATTCGTTTTGGGTAGGCGTATGCCGTCGACGGGGCGATCGCTGGGCTCCTTGAGATCTTTTCCCCTCTCGCGGCCGGAACCCACCTCCCCACCAACAGAAAAATCATTGAGGTTAGGGGGGGTTTTTCGTTTCTGTCGAGTACGTGGGGGTTGGGGGAAAGCGAGAAAGTGGAAATAGCTAGCTTGCCTATGTACATACTTCGTCGGGACCCGAACCTGTTGAACCTCTGTTCTGGTACTGGATCTCTTCTGCGAGTCGACGAGATTTCTATCCGTGCTTGATCAGATCATGAAACCCGCGCGCCTGGTTGTTCGTCGACTTGCGGAGCCGCTAGTTCGGCCTGCTCGAAGCAACCGTCTTCGTTTGTTTACCACGGCCTCCTCTCGACCGTCACCTGCCGCCGCCGCGGCGGTCCAACCGCAGCCGTCTGATCATCCCCCTTTCCCCATTTCCGGTCCAAACCCTGTTAGACACGAAGCTCCTGCTCCCAATCCTGTTCCGACTCCGAAAAATACTCTCCGCGATGCCGTCTCTGCGACTCGGCCGAGGAATGACTGGACTAGGGATGAGATAGCGGTTATATACAACCATCCATTGATGGATTTGGTACACCAAGCTGTAAGAACCCGTGAAATACTTACATGCAATCAATCACCAATCCAATCCAATCCTTTGAGAAAATACAATTCCACATTGACCATAGAGCTGGACTCGACTGATAACACTAGCCAATGTAGAGTCTAATACACCGACGCTTCCACGACCCGGCCGAAGTCCAGCTCTGCACCCTCATGAACATCAAGGTTGGCCTCTCTCCTCCCCCTCGCACCCATCTCATCCGCTGACCTTCTTCTCCCCACCCGCGCAAAAGACCGGCGGCTGCACCGAAGACTGTTCCTACTGCGCGCAAGCGACGCGGTACCAGAAGGGCACAGGCCTGCAAGCCAAAAAGGTCGAATCAGTCGAATCTGTGCTGGCGGCGGCGCGCCAGGCGGCCGCGAACGGGAGCACGCGGTTCTGCATGGGCGCCGCGTGGCGCGACATGCGCGGGCGCAAGAACAGCCTGCGCAACATCGCCGAGATGATCAAGGGCGTGCGCGCGCTCGGCATGGAGGCCTGCGTCACCCTGGGCATGATCGACGGCGCCCAGGCCAAGGAGCTGGCCGATGCCGGCCTGACCGCCTACAACCACAACGTCGACACGAGCCGCGAGTTCTACCCCTCCGTCATCTCGACCCGCACCTACGACGAGCGGCTGCAGACCCTGGGATACGTGCGCGATGCCGGTATCAACGTGTGCTCGGGTGGCATTTTGGGTCTGGGCGAGACGAGTACGGATCGTGTTGGTCTGCTGCATACTGTGTCGACTCTGCCCAAGCACCCTGAGAGTTTCCCTGTGAATGCCCTCGTGCCTATCAAGGGAACTCCTCTTGGAGATCGGGAGCCGATCGATTTTCCAAGTAGTAAGTCCTATACTCATCACGTGTTAAATCTCCTTTTATCCCTATTTTGTAGTCTTCGATTGATAGCTTCTGCTGACTCCCGGGCATCATAGTGTTGCGCACCATTGCTACTGCTCGCATTATCATGCCTGCCACCATCGTTAGAATCGCAGCTGGTAGGAAAACCATGTCAGAGGAGAAGCAGGCTCTTTGTTTCATGGCTGGTGCCAACGCGATCTTCACTGGTGAGAAGATGCTGACGACGGAATGTAACGGTTATGACGAGGATAAAGAGATGTTCGACCGGTGGGGCTTGGGTCCTATGAAGAGCTTTGATAAGTCTCCGCCGCCTGCAACTAGCTGTAGCTCGTAGAAGCTCGTACTTGGACGATGTATAGGTATCTAGGAGGTAGGTAATTGAAAGGACTTCGTTTTAGATTATGGGGGTTAGAGCCGAGATTTATCTTGTTTGATGAATACACCTTCTCCCTCCATAATTAATTTGGGATGTCTTTCACTCTCTCGAGTTTTTTCCATGGCCATCTGATTTCGCACCCATGCTTCAATCGCGCCACATAGTCCTTCGATCTGCTCAGGAGTATTGGCAGAGTGCAAACAAATCCTCACCCTTTCACCCCCAACGGGAACGGTTGGGGCAACAATAGGTCGTACCATGAAGCCAGATCCTTGACAATGTTCCGCAAGACTCCGAGGATGGGCCGTGAAGATCGGTATGATAGGTGATTTGGAGGGGCCCTTCTCAATGTAAAGGATGTGCCGACCTGGGTGCGATCGGATGCAGAGCGCATGAAGTTGACGGTACGTGAGACAAATAAGCGTCTCTAGGTGCTGTCGCAGTGGCTCGGATTGTCCGCTTATGAGATAGTCGTAAACCACATCTATACTATTCAACGAGGTAAAGGTCATCGAGGTTGTGTAGATAAGACTCCTGGCGTAATTTATCAAATATTCTCTGACAACGGGGGAGCATAGAATGGCGCCTGGTTCAAAACACATTAAAACTGATTTCTTGACTCTCGAAAGAAACCGCGGCGAATCGGCCAGGGTGTAAATACAGTGCCAGCAAGGTTGTTGACGGCTTCATGACACATACCTCCAGCACAACCCATCGCTTTCCCAAAACCAAGGACTCTTGCCCATATCCGATTTTCCAAACCGTTCTGGCACACCAAGCCGCGACCTTTCTCGCCAAATACGCCAGCCGAGTGCGCTTCGTCGACTATGATGTAGCCGTTTCCTGATGGTAAGTATCGATCGACGATCTCAACAATCTCTTTTAAAAGCGGGACGTCACCGTCCATACTATAAAGCCCCTCTACACATATGAAGACATTCGCTTTGCAGCGCATAACGTTCTTGTCTCTCGATAATTGTCTTAAAACATCACAAAGCTCTTGACTTTTACTTTGATGACCTCCTTGACCACCTCTATCATTAGAGCTTCGCCATTGGTGAGTTTCTGATATAGAATCATGCGAGAATGGAATCCTCTTCGTAGCTCGGCTCATACGCATACCATCGTGGACGCTGGCATGTATCAATTCATCATAGATGATCACATCTCCAGGTTGCGGGACGCAAGAGAGAAGCCCGGTGTTAGCGTCAAAGGCCGACGTGAATAAGAGCGCAGCTTCAGCATTATGAAAAGCGGCAATTTTCGCCTCGAGAGATTCTGCGAACGAAGAGTTTCCATCAAGGAGACGAGAGCCTCCTGAGCCAAGAATTGACTGGCGACGTAGCGCGTTGCTGTTCTCGGAGGTTGCGAATTCGGCCTCTAGCCGTGATAGTAAGGATTTCTGGACTACCGGATTTGTTGACAATGATAGATAGCCGTTTGATGAGAAGTCAATGGAATTAGGTGGAGCATTACTCAACCTCCTAAGCCTGTCGTGGGATTTTCGGCGCGCTAGAAGAGCCCCGAGGGCATCGTCTAGTTGTCGTCGATATTCCGGCATCGCTGTCTCTTTGAATAGACTGTGAGAAGATCAAAATCGTTATAAATATGGCGATCCCCTAAATTTTCTCACCAGACGCTGATCGATGCTCATTCCCTAGCGCTAATGTGGTAATTTCGGTACCGGTACTACGGCTGCAAGTTAGTGGGGTATAGATCGATCGAATTCCGGCTTAAATGGAACGTTGTCCAGCACGTAATTTTATATTTAGCGCCCATTATATTGTACCTTGACAAACACCCAGGATTCACCACTTTATTAAACTCGGCGCAGTGTAAATGGCACCAGTCCACCCCTTGCTTTGGCGCTCTCTTCGAGTTTTCCAAGTCTACGGCGCCAACACTGATGTCGGCAAAACAGTCTTCACGACGATTCTCTGTAGAGCGGCGAATAGTATATGGGGGAAAGAGCAAACAACGTTCCTGAAACCTGTATCAACAGGCCCGGAAGATGAGGCTGACGACCGGTGTTAGTAACCCCTTCACCGGCTTGATTTAAGAGTAATTAATTATACTGACCTGTGGAATCGCAGGAGTGAGCAGGAAATATATTGAGCCGCACTTATTGATGGAAATATAGTCATATCCAAAAATATGCTCCGGGAGTAGATCGTTCGACGTTGTTGCAGTACGATCTTGCGATCAGTCCGCATGCCGCAGCAAAGGGCAAGGTATATTAACACTTCATTCAAGACGTTTATATTGCTTGTAACCTAAAACCCAGCTATAAAGTCAGTACCCCCAGATAAGGAACTACTCTCTAAGATATATCGATTCGCATCTCGAAGGGCGACTCATGGTCCTGGGTGGCTGTTCATTGAAACAGCTGGTGGCGTCCATTCTCCCGGGCCATCAGGCACTACCCAAGCAGACCTGTACACAGTATTAAGATGCCCTGTCGTGTTAATTGCTGACTCAAAGCTCGGGGGCATCTCGCTCACGATCTCCGCTTTCGAATCTCTGAAACTTCGTGGATATGATGTTGAGGCTATTCTTGTCTTTCAAGACAGCGAATACGACAATGAGAGATACTTGAGGGATTATTTTACTACCCATGGTATACCTGTAGTATCGTTACCAAAACCTCCGTCCAGGGTACATGATGGAAACATAGATGCGAAGGTAATGTTGCAATACTACAAAGAGGGAGGCGAAAGTGCGGCTGCTCGAGAGATTCTCGACCACTTGGATCGCAGACATCAAGCGCGCATTGAAAGGCTCGAGGCCATGTCGGGTGAAGCATACAAAAGAATATGGTACCCGTTCACCCAACATAAACTCATTTCTTCGGACAGCATTGTCGTAATTGACGGCGCTCGGGGAGACTTCTTTCAGACACTCGTACCAAGTACGAAGGAGGAAGCTGGAAGGAGCGACCTCGTCCTGCAGCCTTCCTTTGACGGCTCTGCGTCATGGTGGACTCAGGGACTCGGACACGGTAATCCGTCGCTCACAATGGCTGCAGCTTATGCGGCAGGTCGCTATGGCCATGTCATGTTTGCCGGAGCAGTCCACGAACCCGCTTTAGCATTGGCAGAGACCCTCTTATCCGGTATAAAGAACCCTCGGCTTACTCGTGTGTTCTTCTCGGACAACGGCAGCACGGGCGTGGAAGTGGCGGTGAAAATGGCTCTGCGGGCAGCTCGGCTTCGATACGGCTGGACTGCGAGTGAGGATATTGGAATCATCGGGTTGAAAGGCGGGTATCATGGCGATACCATTGGGGCCATGGATTGTGCTGAACCGAGCACTTACAATGAGAACATCGAATGGTATGATGGAAAGGGCATCTGGTTCGATTATCCGACCATCAAATGTATTGATGGTCAGTGGGTCATCGAGGTGCCCGATACGCTAAGAGTCGATCTTGGACACGACCAGGCATTTCCAAGTTTATCCGACGTGTTCGATATTGATTCGCGCGAGTCGAGACATGAGCATAAGATTTATGAGGAATATATCGAAAAAGTGCTTTCGCACCATGTAAGAAATGACCGGAAATTCGGTGCCTTGCTCATGGAGCCAGTGGTGATCGGAGCCGGGGGCATGCAACTAGTGTAGGTGCAAGCTTACAACACATACTTCAAGAAGCGTGAGTGCTAACTTAAATATAGGGATCCCCTTTACCAACGTGCCCTGGTCAACGTAGTCCGTCGCTCGGCAAACCTCTTTGGCTCAAGTTCTGAGGTCAACAGCTCGGACCCTACGTGTTGGACTGGTCTTCCTGTCATATTTGACGAGGTGTTCACGGGGTTATACCGCCTTGGCAGATTCACGGCCTCCTCTTTTCTCAAGAGTGACGCTGACGTTTCTGTTCACGCCAAGCTCTTAACTGGCGGTTTGGTGCCGCTGAGCACTACATTGGCATCTGATAGCATTTTCCAAGCCTTTGAAAGTGATGACAAGGCCGATGCATTACTTCATGGGCACAGCTATACGGCCCACCCAATCGGTTGCCAAGTTGCCTTAGAATCTGTACGGCAGATGCAGAGGATGGAGAAGCAAGATGAGTGGGGTTGGGCGAAAGACAGTGAATGGTCGGGATGTTTGAGTAACCAATCCAGCGCCACGAAACTCGAAGTGTGGTCCATCTGGCCCTGGAACCTACTGGATTGGATCTCAAATCAAACAGAACTCGTAGCCGGTACCTGGGCCTTGGGGAGTGTCCTTGCGATCCACATGAATGCTGCAGATGGCTTAGGCTATAAGAGCAATGCCGCGCTAAAGCTGCAGCGTGCTCTACTCGACGGTGACAAAGAGGCCATGTGGAACGTTCATAGCCGAGTCTTAGGGAATGTGTTGTATATCATGGGAAGTCAGAAAAGCACCAAGGACGACATCGCCGAAATTTCGAACATGATACATCATGCTCTCACGACACAGGATAGGGCAAGTTAAAAGGATTGATGGTATATAGCACTTGCTTTAAAATGAATTCCCCGTTACCATTCGTTTCGAGAGCAATATGACAGGTAAATCGAAATGGAAGACACGAATTAAGTAGAGTATGTAAAATGAAGTATAAGTGTAAGAACTAAAGTGATGCGGATTCAGAATGTAAAGTTCGAAAATACTCTGTGTACCTCGTAAATTACAATAACCTAGAAGGAACAATAGAAGGAACATGTCGTCATTACTGAGGTTGTGATTACATAAGTGTACTCTGTGCACGGACTTCTAGAAGGAGTGGAAAGTGGGAAGTGGAAAGGTACTTCGTACATCCCGTGTCGCGCATGGACGGCCGACGGTAACATTTCCGAAATTCTTCCAACGTCAACCTTTTTTGCGACGAGCGCCTCAAAGTTTCTAACTCCTGCCCGGACCTCCAGGCAGATTATACAATCTTTTATGTTTTCATTCTACTAGTCCTTCAAAAAGGGCAAATGTCCCATTCCACTGTTTCTTCAATTCCCCTTCCACAATCCATTTATTCCGCTCAAAATGGGCATTTGCGCCTCCTGCCTCGGCAGCCGACGCCGCGACTCGTATGATGAAGTATGCGCTCCATGCCCCCGAATACCTCCGAATAACGAATAAAAAGATCAATGATGACTAATTTCTGACTTGAATAGGACGATGTATCCCGACTTCTCTTTGACGATCCGAACAACCTCCAATATGGAAGCTTTAGCGAGCACAACATGAACTCTCAAGCCGACCCGCTCGAATCGCAACGGGAGGTTGAAGCCCTACAAAGAGTAGTGGCGCGAACCTCCAAGTATGCCTCATTTGATACCAATTCGCCTATCTTAATGCTACCGTGGGCACTAATCACCTTCATAGTAACCTCGTTGACGTATTCGAGATCGCCCCACAAGAGTCTCAAAGGACTCAACCCGCCTTATTTTCAGGACAAGAAGCTCGCATGGCCCGCTACCAAAACATTCTAGCCAAACTCTCAACGGAAACAGAAGCAACTTCGGCAGATGGTGGACCCGGTACTGTGGAATGGCTGCTAAGCGAGGATGATACCGTCGAGCTACAAGGCAATCTACCCAGTATCAAGGATGAAGCAGGTGGCCCCCTTGTAGGCACATTTGCAGATATAACTGCAGCAAGGACTTGAGAGAAAGCTGCATTAATAAACAAATGACGCCAGCTCGCCAATTGGGATTTGTCCTACTCCGCCAGCTGGTGTTTGAATATGACTAGCCTAGAGCTAGTGTCGACTTGGTGATGAATTTCTAGGTTTTCTAGGTTTTCTAGGCCTGGCAAGGGTTCACCGCGGGTCTTGTTCTATTCCAATCTTGGAGTACGCAATGGAGACCGAGATGCATATACTAAATTAAGTTAATATAATCACTGTCTATCCGCTTCCCTGCGTTTTATCAGTGTCGTCTTGGCCAATCAGGTGACGATTTCTATCATTTAAGAGGAGCAACCCCATCGAGTATCAGACACGTGCCTAGCTATAAAGTGGGTGTTCTATAGGAGTCCCGCCTGACCGGTACGCATTTCTATAAACATTTAACCATATCAAGCTGATTCTCGTCCGGCTTCGGTATCGTGGGAAGAATCGAACACCCCGAAGAAGTTCACGATGGACATTCTAGAATTCAAAACGGGAGTCTGTGCGTCGGATCTAGCCAGTGAGCGGGGAATCCGGGAAGGGCCGCAAACAACAACTCCCCCTAATAAGTATCCCCGGTCTACTATCCACTCACTTAGGGTTAAGAGTTGCTGGTCATAATCCACCTACCGTAAAGAATACCACAAGAATAATCTGACCTATTATTATACCCCAATTCACCGTATCTTCCTATTGAAGTATCCGCGTGACTAAGGCGTTAGTTAGTTAGTAGAGACCACCCCTATTTAGTATTGCCCATATTTCCATTACATCCGCTAAGATGAATGTGACTGGCTATAGTGCTGCCGTTTAGCTCAATTGCCTTGCTGAAAATTTCCCTTTCATTATTCATAATTCATCATTCGTTTATGATATCCGTGACAGACATCCGAGAGTTTAATCATTCATCGTAGGAACGAATACAGCAAAAGATAGGCCCCATTGAGCCTCTTCCGAGCATCGGTCACGCATAAAATCCTTCTAAAACCGGACCCAGTACTGAAGTTTGGGGATCACAAGAGAATTCTCTAGTATATTTAGTTCAAACAATTCGCATCCAGTACAACGTACAAAAGACCGGCTTTCCAGCATCAGTAATGCTATTCCAGAGGACACGTCTTCCCTCAGATGCCCGTTCCATATTTTGAGATTTACCTCTCCCGCCTTTCTCGGTTGTCCCTTATAGACCCGTGACAAAAGAAATCTACTGATCTTAAGCAGTCGTGCTAATCCTCCTCTTCGAATTATTCCGCTGACAACACACAACCCCTATACCACCGAGTATTGCCTGTTATGATGTTGTTGGAGCATGTTTTGGATCGCCTCGTCGACTTCCCCTATGTCCCTTTGGGCTTTCTCGATCGTTGCGGTTCGGTTCCCTTCTCGTTCCCACCGTAGGATGTCGTTGTGGAGCTTGGTATATTTTCGTTGTTTCTTCTCGATGTCTTTGCAGAGTTTGCAGTTATCCTGCTCTTGAGTCGTAGAGTATACCAGCTTCAGCCCGCATGTCTCTCCGGTTCGATACTCCTTCGTACATTGTTGACGGAAGTGGCCCCATCGCCAATACCCGCACGACCAACGCGTTTGTTCGAAATAGCACATCGTTTCCGATTAGAAGAGTCGATCTGAGTAAGAAGCTTGGCCTACCAGCCCGCCAATTAGCTTAGTCGAAGGGGAACACAGGCTTGTCAAACAGGTTATACCTTTATATCCCAACAAGGATGTCGTTTTCACTGGTCACGGTATGCTCAGGTTGACGCTCCCCCCTATTTTTCGTATAGGCTGTGATTCTTAATATCCTGATTCGAATTACTCCACCACCAAACCCGAGTGACATCAGTAGGGAAAACAAGCAATACTTATACTTTTTTTGTCCACGTCTTTGGGTTTCCTTCTGGCCATCCCAACCCGGCATCCGTTCTCGACTTGCGTTTGGCCGCAACCTTTCACTACATATTCGTCGACACTGTGCCCAGAGTTATCACAAACAACCGCCGAGGATTGGTCGTTGACAACTCAGCCTGTCTGCTAATTGGGGTTGCATGTCCATTTCGCTACCAGTCCGTCCAACATGTTTCCTAGAATATGCTGGACGGATGCCACGTTGACTCTAGTTACTTCCATTTCCACCGGCTCAACTTCCCCACTCTGGATACAGCCTACGAGTACCCTGACTGATGAGTAGTTTACCAGCTACTTGATTCGAGAACGATAGATGGCGGCCCCTCTTTCCCTATGCTGTTCTCTATTGGGTCGATTTTCTAACGTCTCTGAGCGGTCCGCCGCTATCCTTGATAATACGTGAGCCATCAGCCTCGAATTTGACACCCTGTTACTACACCCCGTTGCACGCAGAGTTTGATCCTTTCCCGTCTGCAACCAGGATGTGGCCCATCCCCACTGACTTCATATGCAAGCCATCTGGCTAGCCGCGGGTAGGTCTCCCACACCCCCTGCCTCATGAGGCAACTTGCCTTTTAGGACGAGCATGTATTGTCAATCACTGGAACAGGGGATCATGTTTCGTCCCTTGCCACGTCTCGGGTGATTACCTTAAACAGATGCCCAATCACTCGCCGCAAAACTCCGAGACTATATCCTGCATCTATAGCAGCCAACGCTGGTCTCTCTTTTGTTTAGGCTTAGACAGGTCCCCATATTGCGTGGTTTAATCGACTAGCAGTTTTTGATTGCTTTGCCACTCTCTTTTGTTGCCGCTTCTCGCCCGATTTTGTTTGATTGGGTTTCCATAGACTATGTTTTCGAACTGTCCAGCTCATCATCAAGCCACATCGGGAAAGACGATATCGTCCTGACGCACTCTGGGCAGCACTTGCAGCCAACATCCTTTTACAGGTTATTCGAGCTTCTCTTCCTTAGCATCCGATATACCCGTCACGTCAGTAACGGGAAATTTCTAACTCTTTCCCGGAAAAGACAACACATCGTCTGTACAGGGGGTTGGGTTACTATGACGACTTTGTCAATAGTAGCACCTTTTTTGGGTTGAAGGGCTAGGCTGCTTTCCTGCGGCCGCTTAGCCAAGACTAGACACCTACCTACACCTATATGTAAGCCCCCCGGGAGAAATTTTTGTTTCCCACGATATCACGACGCCATTTAATTCACGTGAAACTGTATCGAGTCACATATAGACAGCTTCCCACTCCGGATATACGCGAGTCAGGTAAACTCGAGATCTTCAATGGGGGTTAGTTAGACCAGCGACGTGGCAATGCACTTTTGGCCCAGGCCCACCTGCACGATTTCGCCCCCGGCTTGTGCAAGATGCGTGCCCAGGAACTCTGGGGGATCGAAAGCAGCCCTAACATTTCCCAATTTATCACCTTGAAGGGAGTGGCTACGATCATGGCCGCATCTAGTCTTCGGTACCGGTTCATGCCGCTATCCAAGCATGGTTAAAATACAAACCACTTCTATGGGGCTCATAGAACATCTGTAAATCTCAGAAGGTGATGGGTGTAACGTGAGTTCCTTGTGACAAAGCTCGAGTCTCCGGGGGAATTAATTCAAGTTGTAAACCAGACCTTGATATCTTCTTAGGGAGGCTAATCAAGGACTTATATCATGTTATTTGTCATGTTATAAATAGTAACTACATACATAGGAACCATTGGCCGTATATTCAACCTAATTCCTATCCAGCTATATAACTGACCTTACATTTTATGACACGGTGACGACCCGATAATCATAGTGATGCCATATATAACCCATAGCATGACTCCACACATGCAGGATGTTTGCTTCGTTCATCACCGACAAGGTATGGCCACGGGTTTAACTAGAGTACTATTTGCTAATTCACTTATATCATCAGATATGATGTGATATTCCAACAATCTTGTTGTGTGCTGTCTTCCTAACTAAAGTTAACCGGCGTCATCGAAAAGTAGATCTTTTCACGGCGGTAAGGGATAGTTAGAGATTGTAAGCAGGCTTCGGTATAAAATTTGAGCGATGTTTATGTCCACTAACATTATTGTTTGCATCCATTATCATGCTACATGGAATACGCAGACCCCTGGGTCAACAAGGCCAGACAAGGCGGCCAGGTACTGTCATGAGTAAAATCCTTTTCCGGGATGTCATGGGCGCTTGGCCTAGCTTTCCACGGCCCGTTCCGTTCGCGCTGATTCAAAGACAGTTGTTGACCTGACTATCAGATCAACCTCGGTTGTTGCTTGTAATCTGCAGCATCGACATATATCTCGACCCCTACAAGAGGGGAGATTTGACGTTGAATTTGGTTTCAACCAGCCAATCATGAGCCCTCAGCCATTCGACGCCATGGAAAAAATCTACCAAGAATATGATAGTTCCGGCCACACTATGTCCAAATCATGTGCAAGAAATGATATGCGCATTCCCATAGTTCAAAGTAAGCAAAATGGCCTCCTTACTCCTCTAGCCCAATAATACTCCGTGGCCTCCGAGACACTCTCCCATCCATCGCTACCCACCTTTGTTTCTATAAGGGTGGGACGCCTCATGGGGGGCGTGGGGAGTACAAGGTCCCCCTCCCCCCTAGATGCAGTAGCATGCATCTGAGCCCACCCACAAGAACGTTGGACTCGAGGGTGAGAAGATCAGCCATGTGTTCCTGTTTTGTTAACAGCCTCTCGAGGCCCTGCATCGCCAGCTCATTGGTTGGGGGCTAGAACCAGAGAAGTCGCCGCAGCGGGATGTGTCTTAGTCTTATCCGGAGGATACGTACAGAATAGTTCTTTAAGACATTCTCTAAGGCCCGAAGGAGCCAGGAAGGGTATGTGACGCCTGCTCAGACACTAGCACCTGATTCGCCGATGGGAGCTTTCTCTCTGGCTCTGTGTAACCTATACAGTTACTCGCCTATACAGGAGTGCTAGGATTCGTCGAACCCTTCACGCAGACTACAGCAAGCTCTTGCGAATGTAAGCCCTCTCTAGGCTCACCGTCTGTTGAAGTCCCGAACGAGGCTTTCATCGACCCCTTCTCAGTGGCTAGTACGTTTCCCTCGTTACCCACGGTTGGACAAAACTATGAGTTGTCCCCTTCAACGCCATCGAATTCAAGGTCAAACAAGGGTAAGTGATTGGAACGGCTCCGTTGCCGACTCTGCCTGGAGAATGGGTTCACAGATAGGTACTCCACAGCGGATGTGCTCGCATCGCATAGATGCAGGGTGATCTAGTTTTTTTACCATACGTCTGCATTGCAGGGTTACAACTGAGCATTCAAGTAAGTACTTCGCGGGCTCGCCAAATACGTAGTCGTATAATAGTGAGTACCAATGTATCCTCGCCTAGGGTCGAGGGGAGAGGGAGAGTGAGCGAGACACTGGGGATTGTTGGCCACACCCATAGCAAAGTTTCGGAGCCCAATTGACCGGTCGTACAAAAGCACCAATTCCTGTCATTGGGCATTGATACTAAACCGAAAAGAGAGGCCGAGGGGGTCGGAGTGATCGCGACCACGTTGACGGCCAGAAAAGGCGACCGCGTTCGGCCCTCCAGGCCGCGCCGAGCTCCACCGTTCGTCGCCGGTGTTGGCAAGGGACCTGTTGCCCCTCGGGGGATTTGGGGGCCGGAAACACGTCATTGATGTTTAGAGATACTTTCTTGCTTACAGCACCACGTTCTATATGTCAGGTACATGCAACGCGTCGGACGAGATTCCGGGAATTGTGACAGGTAACAGAAACTTGTAACAAATTTCCGGGCCGGGAATTAAATTTCGTTTCTATGAAGTAATATGGCAGCTTTTCTTCTAGAAAAAGGCAGACGAAAGTAAGCGGCTGTATGCGATTATGTACCTGTTAATGGTGGTTTGAAACAAGTGAGTGATTGACTGACTGACCATCAGACATCACGTTCGACTTACACGCGCGACTCGGCCAATGATATCAATTGAATGTTTTACTTAGGCTAGTCTAAACTGACTAGGTTTATCTGTATGGAATAATAATACTTCAATTAAGACTGAGGGTCCATTCTATAGCACAACTTGGTCCACCTTTTCTCACTTTTCGGGTTGCCGCTACTGTACCCAAGTATGGAGATAAAAAGGCTAGATTTGACAACACATGAACAGCACTGCTATACGAAAGAGCGATGATAGTCTGTTACCCTTGCTCTTTTCCCTTTTTGATTCAGGAATGCATCAAGTTGAAGCCAAACAGGCTTTAGCGACAATACTTGAACCCAGACCCTACATATGAACACTATGAACTGCTATGAACGATAGTGTGCTAAAAACGAACAAAATACATGTGGGGTAATGGCTCTGGTGCATGCGTGAATCAATACGAATACCCCTCAAGCCACCCCCCTGAAGACCCCTCTGCGCCCATCTGCGCCCATCTGCGCCCCTCTACTAGGTAAGCATCCCCCTTACTATAAGCCCCTTACTATAGTTGACGTATATGTATATGCACCTGCTTGCATCTACTATACGCGTGATTCGTACATGACATCCCGCGCGTTCTTACATGTTCTGGAGAACCACCTCCCGTAGATCTCCCGCCGCCTGCCTCGGTATATCTGCCTACATGCTGCGATATACTGCTACATAGTACATTTAACCCGGACGTTAAAATAATACCTAGCGAGATGGACAGTATTCTTACTTAATATAGAGCACGTATTCGCTTCGGTTCCTACGTGGTTCCTACGTAACTCTTCAATCTTGGATCATCTCTGGTCCCGCTTCCCGTGCTGTACGAAATACAGCATGCGATCTTGATCTGGCATTGTAACGAGGAGGTCGGCAAGTAAATACCGGGCTACGTCAACTTCCAAGTCCCACCTGAAGTGGTACGGTATTTCCATATGGAATCCCAATGTGCGGAGGGAGTACATCGGATATGATAGTACCTAGGGACTATTAGATTATTGGATTGTTTACTACCTACTATTCCCATTTTATGCACTATTGCTTCCCGGCTTTTCCTTCGGACCAATACCGTCGTTGGGCCACTTACGTCGTTTGTTTTCGTCAGCCATTTGTCTATTTCTAACACTTTTCACATTACACAAACATTTTTTAAAGCGGCTATGAAAATAATCGGAATCCCGCAGATGTCAACTTTATATCAGATGTCGGGCCGTGTCCGACTTTTATAATGATTAACGTTGATTGGCGACGGTGGTTCAAAAGGAAAGTAGGACCACTAAGCCTCCGTGATCTGCTCCGCATTTGGCAATCCGGACGCTACCACTGCCCATTAATGTTAAGGTGAAGTGCCTCCTTCCCCGTAGTCCGTGCGTTAGGCTTAGTCCGTTTAGTTTAGCTAAGCCAAGCATGGCGGGATTGATGGAGCTAATGTACCTCGTACGACTTACAGTGAGGTAGGTACATCTACGTACGCATTCGTCAACGAGGGAAGGTGCTGTACCGCCATGCCTATCGGTGTGGCTCTGACGAAACACCGAAACAAGATTCGCAAGGACTAGGTGAACTATCCTTCCTTAACTTCAATGCTCCTTAAACATCTTCAATTCGTAGCATTGATCATTGAGCTCGTCATTGATCAGCTTCACCCACCAACGTCAAACATCGTTCTAATTATCTATGCGTGCACTATTATCCGACCTCATGCGCGTCAGGCCCCCCTTCCACGAGCCCCTCAAGCAACCCGTGGCCTTTGTGATCACTCACTTCAACCACCCTTAAAGTGGTTGCCTTGCACAACCTCGACCGCTTAAACGGCCTTACAACAATACATTCAATACATCTCATGTATAACAGATAATCTGTACCAGCTCTCTGTATTGTTAGCCGCCCGTATATCGCCTTATCAACACGACAGATATTTCCTGTGCGCCAATCTATCCCCTCTTTGCGCGTCTAGGTACCATTCCCCTCCTTCATCAGGAACGCCGTACATAAGCGTCACTAGCTGGGAATAGCTTCCCCAGCTGCCGCTCGCCTTATTCAACACACAACATTAGCAATCGTTTGATATAGACGTACTAAGACATATTTAGGCACACATCGAGACATGCATTCTTCCGGCGCAAGTAACTGACTGCACATCACAAACCACACTACTTCTCATCCTGGCGTCCTGGCCTTAACAGCCACTCGGGGAGCGCGGAATTCATCGACCTGGCATAAGACACATCGACTGGCACTCACCACCACACCTCGCTGTCATCGGTCGGCACATATTCACGCAAAGTCTCACCGAGGACTGACCTAGTATAGTATTTCACTTTGAATCGTACTCCGCTACGTTGGGGCCACGCCTAACGAAGGAGGGCTATCCCTACTGCCACTTCATCATCATTACTACCTGGCCGGCAGCCCCGCGCATCCCGCCGTGGCTAGGCTAGGCTGCAAACATGTCGGCGCATTCAGCCCTTGAAGAGCCCGGCTCGCAACAGCACCTCGCTACGAACACTCGAGAAGTAACCTTGGTCACGTCGCGTAACGCGCTGGTACCGCAAGCGACGTCTTCTCTACCTTTTCCATCGCCGGCTGCCGAGCGTGGCGATGTTACTCTACGAGAATCGGCCTCTGGAACGGCCGCCATTGTTGATGCCCAACCAACTGCCCTAGTTGCGGATTCTTTGGACTCCGAGCACCTGGAATCTCACCCTGGGGTTCTCGATGGCCGGATGCGGCCAGCCGCGGGTCAATCTGTGGATGTTTCATGCCCGTCACCAGGTACGGCAGCCTCGTCGGGGGTGTCTCAATCCGCGCTAGATGCGTCATCTACCCAAGAACCGCATGGAGACGAAATGGTGGATGTCATGGTGACGAGGCCGTCTTTGCTGAGCTGGGGGTGGGACTCGCTCAGTCTAGACGGCCTGCCGAATGAGGTCTTGATGCATATACTCACCTTCCTAGATGTGAGTGATCTGCTAGCTACTTCAAGGGTATGTTGTCTTTTTGCTTATACTAGATTGATGATGAGAACGCTGAATTCGGCTTATTTTTGCCGTCTCACATTGATTGAGCCTTAATTCGGGTTGTACGGAGAGTTATGTGGTTTCACTCACATGTAACCCGACTATGAGCCATTATTCTCATACTCGTATTTATCTCGTAAGACGCGTTCGTTGAAACGTAACTGCGTTGATCTCGGTCCAATGCGCCCCCTTTATCAGTCCTGGGATCTCCACAGCTACCAATTCTCCTAGATAATACAGATAATACAACGTCTCGTTGATCATACTATACTAACCATGACTATAGATTAACCATCACTTTAGAACTCTGTGCCTACACCCTATCTTGCACACCCTGCGCCTCCGGCGCGCTCGTGTGTCCCTACCACCCCTCCTCACGTCACCTTCACGGCCTACCCTCGCAGAGCTAATCGCACGTCATATCTTCCTGACCCATACGACGCAAATCTCACGGCGTCTCGCTCGAAATCTGGTTGCGATTCGGCTTTCTCGGCGCCTGCCACTACGTCCATCTGCCGAGTCGCTCGTTCAGCGCGGAGTGCTTCCACCCGAGATTGTTGAGGGGAACGTAGCCCCGGGTCTTGTCGCTAAAAAGCGTGCCGTCGAAAAGGAGAGACTTAAGGACGGCCTCCGGCGCTGGGTTGGTGCCGTCTGGCGTGGAGAGGTTAGGGAAAGGAGCGAGGGCGTTAAGAAATGGGAAGAGCGTGCCGGGGTTGGGAGGGTTTGGCGGTTGAGGAGGTTCTGGGAACGCGTGGGGAAGGATAGCGATGACGCACCGGGTGTGCTGTGATGGATCTGATTCGTTTGAAGAGGATAACATTTCCTATTCATCGCCACCCATTGCGGTGGCTCAATATTCGGCTTTGCTCCGCGGAGTATTCCAAGTTTGGATGCATGGATGATATATGACTGACGAAGGCTGACAAGAATTTGCTTATGAGAACCTTTTCACATATGAAGAACTAAGCTCTGCTAGATACGCAGAAGGGTAACGTATTTTGACGGCGGTTGATTTCAAATGATTTAACCTGACGACTAGGCGTTCGGGGATATCCTCTCAGTTTTGAATTTCTGTCTCTGGGAATTATACTCTCCCTTAACAGTACATTATGTATATCTATCAATACAAGAAACGATTATGTCAGGTTCATGTGCGTAGATGGATATGTACTCGAATGCGACCCCCCTTTCGGCTAACTTTGCCTTCCCCTTCCACCTATATGGGTTATTAATAAGATTCGGAATCAGAAGAACGCCGTCGTGGTCCTATGCAAGGTAATCCCCTTTTGTTCGTGCTTATCACGGCGAAATCCTCTCCAATGCTGTGTAGGTATGTATGCTATCACACCATCTTTGATAGTTAGATATACCGGTTTCAGGATCTCCCCCCACTCTATCGATCAGTCACATCCCCTCCCATCCCACTTCACCTTCCCTCAACTCATCTCACCGAAACCGAAAAACATCCCAATCATCCTCATCCTCGTCCTCGTCCTCTTCATCTTCATCATCTTCCTCTTCAATAACCCCAGTACTCTCATTCTCCTTCCCACCAGCCGGACTCTTAGTCATACTGATATCAGAATCGTCTCCTCCACCTCCTCCTCCTCCTCCCGTCGTCGTCGTCGTGGCAGTAGCACGTAAATTCGCCACGCTACCTTTCCGCAGCTCCTCGCGCCGCTGCTTCAGGCGCCGCACCCGCGACTCCAGCTCCTCCATCTCGGCGAACTCGGCCTCGAGCGCCAGCGTCGCGTCCTCGCGCTCGTCGGCCATCTGCGCGTCGAGCTGGTGCTTCCGCCGCTCGTTCTCTTCTTCCTCGGACTTGGCGGCCAGCTGGGCGGCGCTGAGCGCCGGGGCTGAGATGGTAGCGGAGTTGTAAGGGTCGTTGCCGTTGGTACCAGGTGCCTCGGATGCCGTGGCGATTTCCGCCTCGAAGGCCGCCCATTCGGCTTCGTCGACGGCGTTGGAGGTTGCCTGAGATGTAGAATCATTGTTGTGGTTATTATTAGTAGTAGGATTAGCCGTAGCCGTAGCAGATTGAGAAGCAAGCGATTGCGTCGATATAGGTAAGTTGCCGTTGCCGTTGCCGTTGTTGTTGTTGTTCTGGGCGGATGTCGACGGCGTCGACGTCGGCGTCGATATGGACATGGGCGTGCCGCCGGTCTGGGCCTCGGCGGACCCGCCGATGAGCGGTGAGCGGCCGACGGGCGCGCCCTTGGGCGTCGACGTCGCCGAGTTCGAGCCCGCGGCGGGCGTGGCGGGACGCGACGGTATCGCGATCTCGACGCCTTGCACGGGCGCGTTCGAGGCTCGGCGCCCGAGAACCGGGGGAGTCTGCCGCTTCTCGCCGACGCTGGCCCTGCTGCGTTTCCTGCGGATCGCGTCCTCGGACGCGGAGTCCGATGCCGAGGATTGGCCTTCGTCTACTTCGTCGAGCTTGCGCTTGCCACTCCCGACCCCAGCTCCAATTTCAGTTCCAGTTCCAGTTCCATTGTTGCTACTTCGATCTGTCGTGGATGTGGTCTGTGATTGAGGTTGTGATTGTGGAGAGTTCTGCAGTTGTGCCCGCTTCCGGTGGTTCGGGCCCCGGATGTGGTTCTCCCAGAGCGACTCGGCCTTGACGGGCTCGTGGCACAGCTTGCAGAGCAGCTTGCCGGCGTCGGAGTACGCGGCGTGCGGGTGCTTGATGCGGTGCTCGGCGCGGTGGGCGCGGAGGAGGGCGCGGGCGTCTGCCATTGCGGACGGTCGTGGTGGTTAGTGGTTTGCTCGTACGATGTTGTGACTCTGGCTTCTTGCGTGTAGAAAGTGCGGTGTAGTGTCTACGTAACCAGTTGATGAAACTCGGTAGAATCGGATACGACCTTGTGAGCGTGTGTAGTTTCGATTGTTGTTAATAAACTTTCGAGGTTGGCCTTTTTGGTCTAGGGTCCACGTTCAGCGCCAGCTGCTAATGGTCATGGTGACGATCGTCCGTGGCTCGTGGCTGCTTTCTCTTCTTTCTTTTTTTCCGGCGGTTAGTACGACTGATTTGGAACCAATTAGCGAGGCGGCAGGCTGACCTCACTGAGATGCGGGTCAGCTCTTCGGGAGTTCAGCCACAGCTTAGCTTCCGGTTAGCTTCTTCCAGGGTTGCCCCGCACCAAAGGGCTTCCCCAATTGGAATTCAGACCTGCTGTTGTGGAGTAACCCAGCCGCTGTTACGAGGTACCTGAACTGACGTACCCGGCCTATCGATAATTGTGACTCCGAATTTAGAGTTCCAAGTTGTTCAAGGTGCTGTCTGGAAAGCTTAGAAACTACAACATTCCAACATTTCAATATTTCCTACTCAACATCTACACGTGTTTTCCATGTTTTTAGTCACATTTAAAGATAGTTGGATCCTACCACATCTTACCTCCGTCATTCAAAAAATCCTTCTTATTGCATCACTAGCAGTGCGCAGCAATGGAGGAGGATCAACAGAAACAACAACAGATGTCATCAACCTGGCCGCCCCCTCCTCCCTTCTGGCGCGACTTCACACCTGAGAATATCGCGCGCATCGACGAGCTACGAAAGGAGCAAGCGGAGAAGGAAGGTATTGAAGATGCTTCCAAGGTTCGCCTCCAAGGCCTACCCCGCGGCTTGCGCAACCTACAGCCGCCCCAAGAGCCGGCAGATGGAGTGTGGAGAGTCTTTGGCGACACATACCGATTGAACGACGAGCTCCCCCGGCTGGAGGAGTCTAACATTCGACGGCTATTTCCGAACCCCGAAGAGAGAGACCAAGATGGAAAACACTTCGATCGCGCGCTCATTCTTAAGAGACTAGCCAAGTCGCTATTGTTGAACTTCTTAGAGCTTGTAGGACTGTTGGCTATGAACCCCGAAGCTGTATGTTATTTCGTATCACGCGTAAAATTAAATTTTGAACATTGTCTAACATTGGTAACACAGGCGGAAGAGAAGACCAACGATATCCGTGATCTGTTCATCAACTTTCACCACCTCATTAACGAGTACCGACCCCACCAAGCTCGCGAGTCGCTAATCTCGATGATGCAGGCGCAGCTAGACCGTACGCGCGCCGAGACGGACGCAATCCGGGATGCGAAAGACAAGGCTGATCGGGTTATGGAAGGATTGGGCAGTCTCAAAATTCAGGAGGAACTCGTCAGCACATTGACGACTCAGCCTAAGAAGGACCCGTGGGCCTATGAGCGTGAGACTTGGACAACGGCTGTTGGAGATCTCTAGGGGACCACGCCGTTTATAATTGCTCAAGGTGATCCTTGCTATGGTATGTGTATGCGAGTTACGGAGTTGATTAATCAAGGTCTTTTACAAGGAGTTGGGATCTTGGGATCTTCGGCAACGATACCCTTTGATTTTTGATGGTCTGGATTAGGTATATGGACCGTGTTCCATTACCTCTACGTAGCATATTTTTTTCGTTGGACTACTTAAATGTCCCTGGATGCTAGTCGGAGTACATTGTCAGACCATAATAGAATTTTGTTTGCAAATACAGATCCGCTTCAATAAATCGTTTATTCGTGTGCTACCATCGTTGACATCCACCCTAGTCCCACATCTTACATAACCGTGCAGGGAATGCAGCAGCACTCAAAGTCACCACAATCGATACACTTCGTCTTTCCTCCAGTTGCTTCGGCGGGCTTTATGATGCTCTCGATAGTTGAAGACGCGGCACTTCCAGGTCCGTTTCGGTTGACAAGGTGGGAGTGTGATGAGCCGCAAGCCATTTTGAATTACGTAGGTAAAATTTGGGCTAGAGGTAGGTAATTCAATACTTTGTATGTCTGTCAGTTTAATCAGTTCAATGTTGTACCTGACTAGAAGTGGGACCACATACAGGCTGACAGGTATGGGAGTTTGGTGTCTCAAAGTTTGGACGACAAGCTTTTCTTATTTCTTTCACTGAAGAACTGTATGCAACAAAAAATAGATTAGGCTTGGAGTCTGGCCTTGCCTTACCTTTATCTATTCCTCACCGACCACGCAGCTGCCACCTCGAATGATGGCGGTGCAGTACGTACCTGCAATGTACCGGTCCTTGTCAGCTGCATCTGAAACTAGAGCAAGGCAAGCAAGGAAAGAGCCAAGAAGACGGCGTCGTCATAACTGTGGGGAAAGCTAGGATATGGGATTCTAGAGTTGATTGGACTTCGACATGTACACAATTGCTTTACTAGTCTCAATCTCTTTAGACTTCCAACGAATAGATTCACGATATACAGGTACATATTCCTACTCGGCCTATGGTATGACGACAAGCCCTTTGTAGCTTACACACGTGCCAAACGACTCACTAAACTTGGTTTTACTGGTTGAGTGGCGGGGATATGAGGCCCTACAAGATGGCCCCGACACCATAGAAAAGGACCTTGGCGCATGAAAAAGCATAACCAACAAGGTCACTAGCCGATTGGACGCAACATGCCTTTATACCTAGGTATTAGGAGAAGGAAATATTTTTCTTAAGGCTAACTGCCTAGGTGGGTAAATTCAAAGGAACACTATGCGTCAAAGGCAATCGACCTCTTCTAAATCGTGCCGGACGCATAAAAGACTCCCCGACCATTTGTTCCAACGTAGACCTGCCCAGCAGTGTTTCCACTGCCAGCAAGTTTACAGCTGTCGATAGAGCCAAATCCTTGACTATCACCTTGGATATCAGTCCAAGTTGCGCCATCATCCGCGCTGCCGTACAGCCTGGCTCCGGCAGACCCTGTGCCAAACGCGTACACATTCCATGTCGTACCTGATCCCTTCCCGAGCGCGACTTGGTACGTGTTCTGGAGAGTGGTAGATGGCTGAGTGAAGGAAGAGCCATAGTCTGTTGAATGGAATACGCCAACATCAGTCGACACCCAGACTTCGCCTGCCTTGGTTGGATGGGCCGCAATATCGCGGACCGCAGTAGCACTGCCGAGGGAACCGGCTTTTGAGAATAAAGCCCCGGCGTCGGTACTAACATAGAAGCTAGCTGCTGAGCCGCCGTAGAATACGGTGTTGTTCTGCTTATCTGAAGCAATCACAGCACTTGAGGGAAGACTAGACGTTGCTGAGAAAGTGCCCTGGTTTTTGGAAAGCTGTACGCCGCTACTGGATGTCGACCAGAGTACCGTGTCGCCCTTAGCGGAGTAGGCTATTGTGCCGCCGCTCAAGGTAGTGTCCGCCCCTGAATAGTTACTCCAGGTCACCCCACCATCACTTGAGACCGCAGCCTGTTGCGATCCAGCAGAGTTCCCAATGCGAATAATGTTATTCACGGATGTTCCAGCATAGTCGACGCTCGAGGACGTCGACCAGATGGGGTTCATCCAGGGCATGCTAGGAGAGACCTTCAAACTAGCTGCATCCTTGAAAGTGAATCCGCTGTCGTCGCCTACTGCAGCTAATAACTCACTTCCTCCGGGAGGTGAAGCAAGATCCTGCACCGCAAACTCCTCGATGCCATCTGCGAGCGACTGTATCGATACGTTATGAGCAGAATCCCACTTCGTCAAGTCGTGGCCGCCAAATACAGTCAGGCCAGTCGCGTAGAGCCAGTGATCGCTATCGAGAGGGTTAATCACCAACGCCTCGATCATCCATCCGAGATGTTTGGTATCAGTGTCGAGGAAGCCGGTCTTTATCCAGGGCGCTTTCGAGGCCTGTATGCTAATATTAGACCAGTTCTCTGCCTATCGTATAGCCAACCCACTTACCGATTGCGCATAGTAGAGATTCATATCCGGGTAACTAGACCACGCCCATATGTTAGACCAAGTAGTACCCGAGTCGTTCGATCTGAAGAGCTGTGCGTCAGGCCACCACGAATTCAAGCTCGCCACAACAATTGTCCCCGGATTTTGCATATCAACACCAAGTCCTCCGAAACCGAAGTACAAATCACTACCAGAAACCGGTGTGATGTCCTTCCAAGTACTTGTCGCAAGATCATATCGGTACACAGCACCCAAAGTTCCGTCATACGGTCCCGTGCCATCGCTATATGTAAGATATAAGGCCTTCTCTTCCGGTTGCAGAACACACTTGTGCGGGAAGTATGTGCCGGGCTGGCCGTCGACTGGACTCCAATTCGCTCCTGCATCCTCGGATACGTAGACACTCGCAGTCGTGTTGTCGGCTGTACCTACAAAGATCCTATTCGTCGCACCATCTGTCGTGCCGCTCGTAGAGTCAAAGGTCACGAAAGACAGTCCTTGTATATCGCCATTATATCCTCCAACGTCGTTTGGATCCGGGATGAAAGTTCCGACTGCCGTAAACGAAGATACCTTAGTAAAAGTGGCTCCGGCATCCGTGCTCTTCCATAACCCATTACCGCTTCGGGCACCGAAATATAAGATATTGGAGTTGGCCGGGTCGACAGCAAGACGCTCACCCATTCCTCTACCCGGCATATTTCCTCCGACCTTGAAAGAAAGGGCAGTGGTCTTCCATGTGGCACCTTTGTCACCGCTGCGGATTATAGAGCCGGGGTTGGGATCCCTAACTTGACATTAGCGAACAGTAGGTCGAACACATCGCTCCGCGGCATACCAATCATTTGTATACGCGCCCACAGCAGCGTAGACCACACTTTCATCCTGCGGATCAAGTGCAAGGGCATCTACTCCCCAGTTATGCCAATTATCGTTGTCCGTGATACCGTCCGTTATCGCCGTCCACGAATCGTCCGAGTTCAGCCGGTACAGACCTCCGATGTCTGTCCGAGCATATGCTACTCCCTTGGCTGTTGGATGGAAGACGATACCCGGTACGAAACCGCCACCGCCTCCGATCTTGACGTTCTGCCACGTGAAGGCGGCTTCAGCGGCCGCGACAAAAAGTTGCGCCCACGCGAGGAACTTCATCGCCGAGGTAGGACTAGTAGCTATCTTTGGTACCGAGGTAGGTATGGATGTCCCTTCTCCTTGGAACTTAGAAATGGCTCCACAATCAAAATTATCTTGTCACATATTGCTTCACGCGGGTATGCAATGTCGTTGATTTATATTCATTTGCGCGCAATCTGTACCTACGTATAGACGAGCCCTGATGTCACATCACGCGAGCTTTTCCGGGTTTTCATCCAGCTTAGAGGCACATCAGCCCCCTTTTATCAAATCTAGATGCGGTGACAGGTCGTATTAATGGCACCACCCACATAAGTAAAAGCGCACATCATACGGACGGGCCCACAATCCAATGTCTCGCGTTATCTCAGCGAGCTCAGACCAGAGCCCCGCTTTTGCTTTGTACCCTTCTAGCCACACCAATTTTTAACCAATCAAAAGCGCGCACACAAAAGCA